ATCAGGTGTTCAGCGTTAATTGTATAGCGACATGAGGGCCGTATCACCATGGCTAAGAGACCAATATTGAACCCGCTGATACCTCGATTAAAGATAAAAGCAAAAAAGAAAAGAAAAAAGTAATTGTCATGGGCCGCGCATCGTAGACAACGACGTTTTTCGTGCTATAGATTTAATACTTGACCTTAAGGAAACACCAAACGGTTGGCTTGAATCACGGAACGGAGTACGTTTACGTCCAGCTTCAAAGTTCAACAGGCTTGTTACTATTAAATTACCCACTGCGCTAGCACGGAAATGTGTTGACAATGCTTAGTATTAGATCGGCTCGTCAAAATCGCGTTAAGTTCCAAGTGAACCCAGACCATGTTCTAATGAGACCGACCAGACGGTATGTGTACGAACAATGATATTTTATGCCTATATATAATAAGATAATGATATATGACGCATATATACAAGATCGAAGGTGGAAAAGGAATGATCAGTTCAACCAACATCTAATAGTTAGGGCCTAATAGTGGCTGATATCGTGCTACAATATTTGTGTTATAGAATGTCTATTGAACATTGACTATATTAGAAATCGTGTATCATGTCATGGCGCTAACAAGGATTTGTCTTTCCCGAGCTCTTTTACGCGGAAGTCGATTTGGTTCTCTCGTTGAATTTGAACACGAGGACATTTATATCTTAAAATATTTACGTTGGCCTGAATTCTGTGAATTTATACGCAAGGTCTGTTATACCTGCGTCAACGACCACCAGCAGCTGTTTATACCAAGCGGGTTTGCCTGTTTTTTCATGAGTCCAAGAAGTGTTCCAATCAAAAGTACTGATAAGCTTGAAGCGCTCTACCTAGGTACATTGGACACGGGCATATGCTCCGTATTTGTAACAAACTTTTAATATTTGACAATGTCATATCTAGTGACAAAATATGCGGACTCGTACAAGTTCGAACTGCGAACGAAGGCACATAATAACGTATCTATGGAGAAACGCTGTTTTCAATCAAACACATAAGCCAATGCAGTCAATGAAGGTAAGCTCTTAAGGAGGTTTTTGTCAAGAATTCCATTTTCCATGTCGTATATATTCTTTCTCATCGTGCTGACCACCATTAGATTCGACTAGAATCGACGTCCGAGTTTAAAGTTGTTTCGTGCGAAACATCGTACTCGGTAATTTCTAATATATACATATATTTATGGATATATGATATGTCTGCTTGCTTGTATTTAGCACTTGCATTCAAGAACAAACCCAGTTAGTTTGATTACAAGCCCTCTCAGTGGCAACTTTTATAGGTTACTAACGGACAACCTTATTACTTATTGCTAAAGGGCTTGCTACTGCTACAGTCTTATGTTAGATATTCTGATACTGTTTATGGAATACTTAAGAACAATGTTCGAATCGTCGGACAGATATATTGTTACAGGATACTTACATCAGTTACATAAAACAACGTAAAATCTATATAAGATTCTGTTTGTAAGTTTTAAATACGTTAAATAACGTATCCCAATAACGTTTGCGACATATACATCGCTATAGTCATTTTAAAAATATAGCGTTAGGTTTTTTGATAACACTTTATGTGTAGCATATGGCAAGATGTGAATTGCCTTTTGGGAGTCAATTAGGTGACGCTAATACAGCCCTCCTCGGAACTCGACATTACGAATCTCTGATAAAGGAGTTTTTGCTAAAATGGATACTATATCTCTACAACCATTTATAGTATAAGGGCTTAATTGCAAGCTTGGTGATGATTCAATGAAGAACGTCAATGGTCTTATTGTTATATTTTTCTTATTATCAAAACGAGGCTGTTTTTGAAACGATTGAACCCATTTTTAAGCAATCGCATCCCCAAAACAAGCGTCCTCTCTCTAATTTCCAATATAGATTCAGTATGGAACGAAAAAGCATCAATAATAATTCACAATATTAGAATATTTAGAATGTAACCGGACAAAGCTTATTTCTAAAGAAATAGGTTTAGATCTAGAATTATAATTTCAAAAGAAAAATATAAGAAGATACACGTTCAGCGGGTATACTAAAGTGCTTATCAAGAGTCCACTGTTGAAGCACGTTTCAATATAAAAGACGTTGTTTTAAGAATAAAATTCTTAAAAATAAAAAGAAAATAATAAAAAAGGAAAAAGTTGGGACCATTTTTTTATGCATTTTACTCCGATTAGTTAATTTCCACATGTTGTCTTTAAAATCAGCAAGCCAGGTTAGTTCATGGATACCTAAGACACGTTAAATGAAGAGCCTGATGAGTACTACACACATCCAGTTAAAAATAATAAAAGTTGCTTATAAATTTGAAACAGATTTTAGGTCAACGCGTTAAACCCCTTTGCCTTTCAGAGCACCTATTTTAACATGCTCGTTAGGTATAAAACAGTCAAGAATATCGATTCTGCGAACAGAATCAATTCATTCACACTGTTATTGCTTTGTAATATTCACCTTCCGATATAAGAGTACCGCTTGCATCCGTTCCGCCAATTCTCCACACGCTGCGCCCATTTTTAGTGCAGTTCTTCCTTCTGGAGCCATATCGCATCTCTGAGCACTGTTGGCAAATGAGGAACTAAAGCTGCAATAGTCTCTGTGACGACAGGGAAGCAAAATGTTCGGCAGGTCCAGCTGGTCCACCTGGGTTCCCGCCACTGAGCAGTGGTGCCTTTGCCCATTTCACTGTGCCGCAGGCACTGACTTCCCCATACAGATCAGGTGGGCTACTTTTGAGTCCCCCCGACGTAATCGTGCCAGCGATAGCGCTGGCAGTTGTAGAACAGGCAGCATCGCTGTCGAAACAAAGAACTGCTTCAACCAGCCAACGGGTAACAAGACGAACGAATAGTCTTATTGCCCTTGCCTTGATGCCGCGGGCGTTGGCCGCCGGCAGCAGCCGTTAGCTGGCATAGCGCTTTCTAAGGGCAGGGTAAATGGGCTGGGGGCGAAGAGACAGGAACAGGCAGACAGAGAACGTTGTAGGTGTGTAGGAATCGAAGCTGGATAGGTTGGCCCTATTGGTTTGCGGTGAAAACAGGGAAACGAGGAGGGCAGAAATGGGGCCGACCGGAGCTGCAAGGGCGAAGTGTTCGGATAGCCAGAAGCCGTGTCTTCAAAGGATACTGGCTGCTTCAGCTGCAGACGGCTCCGTATCCTCGTCGAAGGCTCCTTCCTTGCCCCTCCGTGTCCCATTCCTCACTGTAGCGTAATATGGGCTTCCATTCTCACAACTGTCTTCCTTTAGCGTTACCAGCTACTATGCCTGAACTATTACCATTCTAAGCGTCTAGTAAAACGGCCTGTCTCGAACAACGGGTGTCTATTATAGTACATGTTGCCCGTGATCGATGATTTTTACCCGTCAATGGTGATATGTGACAAGCGAATTCAATACTCTTAAAATTTTTTGCTTGTCCATTGGATACTGGCATCTGGGATTTCGCCTCGATGAACTGTGGGACTGTTTCTCCTAGAATGCGTGGGGCGGTACGTTGTGATGTTATTACGTTTGTAGGGTATGCCTTTAAAGTTAGCCATTATCAACAGACGAGATGGTACACGAAGAACACAGGAAAAAGATGACCTTGCACTTTTTTTATTTTTTCGGTTAGAGCAGTCGTTTTTTCTGAACCGTCCGACAGCTAACAGATATACAACCATGTCTACAAGTGCCGACGACACATGGAACCAAATGCTCCATGGATGCACACGGCCACGCCGATTATCAATAATCATGTAGACATATGAGAAAACTATATATGCATTTATATTTACAAATGTGCTATATCTCAATGTTTGACATCAACGCCAAGTGCTCATTCGAAAAAGCCACTTTTCCCTGAGCTTCACTCAAAGAAAACGAGAGGTAAAGCAAAAAATATGGTCGCGATTTTATGAAGTAAACTCTTAGGCCCTACCGCATTTGAAAAATCTGCCTTTTAGTCGGTGTACATTATTCAGACCTCTCAAACACTACCTTTGTCTTGGAAATCACACCGATTGTGGATTTTAGTTTTAGGCTTAATGATGCGGGTTGTAGTTATCAAAATAGGAATTGACGCTGAAGAATTGCCTGTATAGATGCACTTAGTTTCTGAGAAAGCGAGATCGTAATGATAGCTTTAAAATTTTTCGAAAGTATATATATATATATATATAGAATGTGAAGCAGAGATTGTAGATTTGCAGAAACCTTAGCGTTTAATCCGCCGTACACATGGCCCCTTGTAAACACAGAGGTTGTCCGCTATGCCTATGACAACAGTTTACTCTCAATAAAAATACTTTTAAACGTGTTCATATAAGAAATTCGAGTTTGCAACATCGGTGGCATAGATATAGTCGAATATTCTATAATTATATAATTAATCTCCTATGTTCTACGCAACATCAAGCTAATATAAGCATATAGGTACTATGAACAAGCTGATTGAGCATACGTGATCAATACCGTTAAGAGTCATCAATGTCGACCTGTGACTTTCATTGTTCTAAAAAGCCATATATGGGTTTTAACCATTGGTCTTTCAAAGACGCCGAAGCCAAAGGACAACATAGAGGAATGCGTGAGCGTGACCATCTATGTACCCTACGATATCAACCTATTGCGTTGTTTGACGAAATACATCCGATTCCCTTGTGCCTGGCTAATTAGATTAATGCAGTGTTGAATCTACATTTTTTTTTTATTACTTGCTCACGCGATGATGTTTCGGGCCAGTCTTCTCACAAACTGCTCAAACTAAATGGATACATATAAACGACCAGATCACATTCGGTCATACTGAGTCGGTTCTATATTGGTCGCTTGTGGGGGTGCGCAAACAAGAAGACTCGTTCTGAACTAGATATCATCTGCTTTACCCTGTTCGATAGGCACACACCTCTATTCCGTCCGCCTTTTTTTTTTCACTTCTTGTCCCCTTCTGCTACAGCTCGCTTGTGGGGTTGGTGTACCTCCGGCAACTCACTTACCCTGCCAGTTACCGATGGATGCTACCTTACTGCTTAGTAGCGTCTGTTTTTCCTTTCCTGTGCAAGCCGATCCCTCGCAGAGTGGCATGCCCATCTGTTACCCTTTCCCAATCGCTGAAGATATGGCTGAGCGAGCGCTTTAGATTTTGACCGACTGTTCAGTCATCTCTGAAACGCGAGCTGTTTCTCGTCGCTTCGGCGTAAAACGATGCGTAACACGTGACTTTTCCTGACTGTACAGTTGTCGGATCGGTACATTTAGCACCGCACAAGAATCGGCGTGACATGTTTGTAAAGGCCGATAAACGTCACAGAAATAGCTTATAGGAAGGAGTGTTGCAATACGCCACTATAGCAGCAGTGTGCAAATATACGGAAACAACAGGCGACAGCTACCTTGCTCGCAGTATCTTCATGGTGATTGTACTTGTTCCATCTAACGCTTGTTATTAGCTGCCGTGGCGGACGCTAATTAGCCTCAACAGTACTACTAATTATCGTTAATTAACAGAAGGATCGTGACACTTGGTAGCGAAACGTTAGTTTGGTTTGAAATTCTGTTATGAAACAAACGGTTTAGTGCGAACGAAAGAATCGACTGTTCCAGCGACATCATACGCTTTCCTATGCATTGGCCTTAACGGAGTGCTACGCAGACGGGACTGCACAAACAATATAACGTGACAAACTAGCATTATCAGTGTGGGTTTTCCAGTAACCACCATCATAATTATTATCCGTTGTAAATGTGTTGTTGACTGAGATTTGCTATGCTGAGTGTCTGGGCGCATATCTGTGATAATTAGTATTAAGTTAACCCGTCGGACAATTGAAATAACACGTAGTTGTAGTCAAGTAATGTCCCGGGCGTCATCATGCGAAAGTCGGGGTGTTGGAGGACATCACAGTCCAGGTCACTCACCAGCACCTAGCCCGCATCCGATCCCATTATCACATTCGGCATTGTTATTAAACGGCCATAACAGTTCATCGAGGAACACCACAGCCTCTACAGTGACGAACAGGTAGGTGTGTTATCGATTCGTCGTGAGGGCGGGAAATTTTGAATGGGTCCGGTGCGACTCAAGAGGAGTTTCTTGTTCGGTTTACTATGTACCTAGAGATTTGTTTTGTTTACCGTATTTGAGGAGCAGATCATCCATGTTACAGTTGTTTGATACGTGAGACATCGGATTCACTGGACGAGAGTAGCGTCGGTAAGAGAAGGTTGAGCGAAAAAGGCAAAGGGAAGTTGCGATTCAATGGAAGTTCGTAGAGTAGCGTCGTAATAAAGTTTATGCCAATAATTATGCTTTGTCCTGGTTCGAAACGAGGTGTCTTGCTACCTCAGTATCTTGGCTTAAGTACGATGCAGTACGTACCCTGGCATTTTATGAGTACTGCTGTGACCTATGTATCACAATATTAAAAATGGTCATGGCTAGTTAATAGTGAAATTCGTTGTCGGACAGTATTCCACAGTTACTAAACTAGCCTGAATTTTGTTCTATAAATAGAGTTCTTGCAATAGCTTAAAATGAATGAGTGTAAGTATTTTAGCGTGTCAGGTCTGACGAAGTATCTTTTTCTTGTGATTAACTGATGCCGTTCGCGTGACAGGATGTAAACCATTTTGACTGAACACCTTGAGGGGTTGTTGTTAGTTGAGTGATATTAATTACGTTCTCCGTCGCAATAATAATGAGAGCGAATGAAGCGAAAGCTTGCACATTTGCTCTATCACAGCAAATATTTGTCTCTATGGTTGACTCTCACCGGCCTCTTCTGTGACAATCTTTGGTACCTGTCGTATGGCATTGTTTCGAGGACCTGTTAAGGTACGGAGTTCGAGTCCCGCAATTCGGGAAAGCCACCCAGAAGCAGAACTTATAAAATGCATCACCCTTCTTATTGTTTACACATTTCATTAAAAGGTAGAATTCTGTTTTAGATCTAGGCATGTGAAATTAAGATTAGGGCAAAAAAAACATTCTACCACAAATTCATTCCGCTTGTTGGACAAACAAAAAACGTACTCTAACAGTTTACGAGAACCTAGAAAAACATACTAAATCAAAGCAGAAACTAAGTAAAATTAAAGTTAAAATAGCTGAATCACGGTGGATATAAGCGTCCAAAGTTTCGTTGTACCAACCAATTATAGCACAAGTACCCAAGTTGTTTAGTTAAAGCATAATTTTGACGATCTGACATTATCGACACCGTAGAAGGGGTCATGTGGATTTTGGCATAGTACCACCTTATACAGTGTTACAGCCAAAACAGGTTACCTGACATATACTTTTTGTCTACTTTAATGCTGTACGTTTGCTATTCACTATTGAAAAGCAAAAGATTTCGTGTCCGCATATGTTGCGATGGTTAGATACGTCCTGGCAGCCAAATTGCCCGTATACCAATTGAATTAATTCTAATCAGTAAGAGCCCCAAGACAAGTTCTCGCTTTTCGCTTCTGGGGACGCCATTTTAACGCTGTCGCTGGGTTGAGCAAATACGAATCAATCGTTTCACAGCCGTCGAATGCTGCTCTAAGGAAATGTGTGAATTATAAACATGAATATTTAAATACAGAACACCTCGTCTACGTCCCGTCCGTTTCTCTGTAGAGACGACCCCATTGCTGCAGTATACACCGGTCGTGCACGTGCATCTAAGAAGCTGAGCTTAGCTAAGCTAAATAGACAAACAAGCAGATAATAATACTATACTGTTATGTGACTGACTTAACAAAAAAACACGGTACACGATTCGCATTTATGAGACAGTCAGTTTTTTGTCACTGTCAAAAGTTCGTACAACGATTCGACCTCTTCAAGTCTGACGCACACCAATGTAGCGCTTCCGTTGGATACATAGAGAAATACAATAAAATAAGGTTCATATTGAAGTGGTCAATAGTATCGCAAGGTTAGCTTTCTATCTCTTTAGATACAATCTTATCGTTAGTTAATTCTCGTGACATTACATGCGCTAAAGATTCCAATGGATTTTTGATTGTTTGGTCGTACGACACGAGGCCATTTTTCATTTTGGCTCTATCACTGAGCATTTTATGATTCGCGCTCCGTTGAGATACGATCGTGTGTGCATGCCCTCTATCGCAGAGCTTTGTGCGTTACTTTGACTTGCTGATAAGGTTCATCGTTGCTGTTGTCGATCGGCTCCTTAGTCATGGCTGATTGCGCCGGTTCAAGCAGCGCTTCTATATCAGCGCATTTTTTCAAACAGTCCACCGATTTCAATATCTGATGATGGTCCCAATAATGAGATTGGGTAAATCGAGAAGACGAAAAAATTTTTGCGGAGGTACGAACCGCCCGGAGTTCGAAGGCACAAGACGAAAGGGCTATTTCTTGTTATAGTGGCGGTAGCATGCTGGAGTCACTGCGTTGCTATAGGCCATATGTAGAGGCAAATGCAGGCGTGGCTCGACACTCATCCATCATTGGGACGATCTGCTGTGTAATTAACTCATACAAATATTATTGTTAGCATCACCAGCAGAATCAATATGCTTGAATACATGTATTAGATAGTTTTTAGCAAAGAAGGCAACGATAGGACGACGAGAGGGGCACAAGGAGAGAGAGATTAACAGAAAAACGGGCAAAATGTGAGTTGCTTGTTCCAGACGCCGATGATCGCAAAATGGGTATAGGTGCTCTGGAGCCGGCGTTGCTTGCATTATTTGCTTACGTAAACAATATGTCGACTGGCACGGTATTTAAGCCGCCATCGTAGGCTAAACATTACGGCTTCGGAGCTACCGTAAATGTATAGAAAGCTGGAAAGACGTTGTGGTCTAGGTTCGAACCCGGGCATATACACATTTCGTTTTATGGATAGAATGTTTAGTGGCTGTACCGGACAACACAAAGGATGCGCATAAGATTTATACGAAGGAACCACACATGGCTGATACACATTGCGTGAATTGCCGAAATGGGAGTCGCTATGAGAGATCGAAAACGGCAGAAATAAATAACTATTTTTTTCTGTTTTTGCATAATCTTAAGTTTTGCTTCGATTTCCATCCAACGTCTCCTAATGCAAGGAAGGATGAAATCTACATATGTACTAAGTATACTGCATGGCTGCTCGTGTCATGCTATATAATACATATATTACGTCTCACAGGACATACGAGACAAAAGCCAAGTCACTTGGATAGTTTACGCTCCAAAAAGCAAAATACGTGCGTTTTTTGCGGCCGTTTAAGTCCCCTAAGTTTATATATACTTACTTCGAATCTAGGCCGTCTGACCTATGCCTAGGTTTAGAAGGTAAATGCGGAGACTACCATAGACGACTGGTGGCAGTATTAAATGTTGTTTGCGTTAACATTTTAGACATCAGCTTCATTCTTCCAGGGATGTATCTATTATAATACACTTATGTATTATCTCAGCGCGCCTCTAAGCTATTAGTTGCTTTTTATGCTGGTTATCTAGCATTATGCTAGTCCCAAATTTCTATCTGACGAATCGGTAGCAGAAATAATGATAATAATAATAGTAATATGCGATCATCACAGGCTCCGTTGGGCCCAACTCGTCAGGGGCTCAGGTCATGAGAGGACCATTTACATTATAACATCATCGACGTTCGGATATAGCTATATACGCGTCTACGGTGATATCGTTATCCTATATGTTATAAATAATTTTCATAGACTATGATAAGTGTCGACGTTTTTTTGGCTACCGCTGCGAAGAGCATCTTGTGAGATATTATTGTGTTACTGATATTATATTCATGTTCTTCAAAATCTTATATCGTTTATCTTGTCTGTTATCTTTTCTTCTACAATAGAGTAATATCGCTTTCGAATAAACGAAGTTTCGTTTCAAACGTTACTGATACTTGATGTTATGATGCTGTTGTAACTAACACTGAGAACGAAGCTTCTCGACGCACCAGTGCGTGCACTAGCTGTGCACGTAAGAGCCTATGGGCTTAGTAATTGTTCTCCGCTCAAAGCGAAGATCAACTGCATCATTGTTTACTTCAACGGTGATAATGACAACGGCGAACAGTTCAACCCGAGAACATTCTAACGTCAATTCATTTTACAATGTGCTCTGCATCGGGCCCCATACCGGTTACTCCATGTGAATCTTTTGCCACCTGCCACCCCCGACCCCCCTTTTCCCTTTTTTCGCTGCTTCGACAAGTCTGGTGTAAAAGAACTTTTTTTCGTTCTCGACACTTTTGTCATCTGCCTTTCCTTCTGGCTGATCCAAGCAACGTTTCGTCGTGTTATCATCACCCTCTTCCCTTTTTCGGACGCTTGGCCATTTTGCTGCTGCTGCTGCTATCATTGCGGCTGTTGTTGTCCTTCAATCAGATATGTCTACAGACGTTTCAACAAGTAAGTTTTGTTGCTGGACGATGACCATAAAAGACCATAAAATTGCCGTTTCCTCGTTCCACCGACCATTCTCCCTTTAGTTATGCGGACGCGGACGCGGACGAATGTTTATGTTATGACGCACGAGGCGCGCGACCAAGATACGGCGATTTCTGCATTCCGTTCCCATCGTATATCCGTTTGTTATGAATACTTAAAAACCTGAGTTTATTTGTCTCAATTTCTGGGTACCGTTGTTTCTGTTGACGTCATCATCATCATCGTTGCTGTTACCATTTTTTAGTCTTTTGCAGAATGGCGAATGTTAAACAACGCGATCGGAAATACGCTGTCAACCTATCACCCCCCTCCGTATGTACCCCACCAGCGTGTCGTTCGTACGTTCGTCTACCTAAAAAGTTATGGCCTATCGAAGGTGCGAATCAAATGAGTATTTACAAAAAAATGTGTCTCGTGACGGCATTCGGTGCGGTTTGAACGAACGAGCGCACAGTTTTTTTCATTTTTCCTCGCATTGACCCGTCTGACGCGACGTTATTCTGTACGCGACATCGCATCAGCTATTCTATGATCAGGTTCGCTGCGCGTTTATGTTTCTATTTTTTTTTTGGGTATATTTCTATAAGTATATGTGCTTCTGTGCATGTCCACTTCAGCCTTATGCATTCATTTTTATCTTACTATCCGCTTTTTATTGCTGTTATCGCTGCCGTTACGACGGCGGCTGTATTCCTTGCCTTTGTTCCAACCGGTCTCTGTCGTATTGCGTACATATGTTCGCAGGCGCATTGATATTGATTATCTATTTGGCGCCTCTTTGAAGTTGACCTCTCTGACGGAACCACAGCCGAAATTCGTAAATATTTCCTGTCGAGGTTTGCTAGTCGACGCTATTCATAATGAAGCCGTATAATGAAATTCCACGCTACCGACATCATCCATGCGGCAGTGCCGTCTCCTCGCCGCTATGACCATTGCTAGCGAATAATAGAGTGTACGAACTTCACGCCAATAGTCGACGCTCATAAAACGGCAGTTCACAGATCAAACAGCAAGAATCGAGTTAAATCAAGTTACGGCAAAGGCCCGCAATAGTTTAAATACATGCGTAAAAAAGATAGATAAATGAAGCGGCGGTGTTGGGAAACGCTACACTAATTGGAGATCGTTGCAAAAGGATGGGAAGACAGACGAACAGCTGAAGGAAGTACAGGAAAAAAGGATATCGGTACGAAGATCTTCGATTAGAATCGATCGGCGACAGCAGACCGCTAACATCGACTAGGAAATACTGGAGTGGCTTCAACAAACGATCATGGTTGTGAAATCAGCCAACAGCAAGATAGATAGCTGAAATCGCGATATCTGAGAAACAACTGGGGACAGGTATGGCGTATTTTTCGTCGAGGAGACGCCCTACGCAAAGCGGCTTGCAAAAAAAATAATAAGATTCGAAGTCAGCAAGAACGACACGAGACCAATTGGCCGTCTTCGGAGGAATTTGAGCAACAGGCAGAAGTGGGACGTGACCATCGTCGTAGAACGTGTTGCAGCTGTGGGGAACTGTGAACTTGGAGAAAAAAGGCAGAATCGACTTTTCTTTTTGCTTCCTTTTTCAACATTTGGCTGTATCGAATTTACAATAAAAAGTGACAGGGTTTAAGGCACATATTGTGTATGTACCTTAAACCCTGGGAACCCCAATTTTTTTCTACTTGTATAAAGCGCCATTCATACGGAAACAATAATTGTTGACGCATAACTAGTTGTTATAGACATATTCCTCAAGGTTTTCGAGTTATTATTCAATTGGTATACATAACGTACGAAACGAATTTGAAGGAATAATTAAAGCATTGTCTAGCCGCGTCGCTTCCTAGCTTTCATTGCTACAAAACACGAATGTACGTATACAGATGCGATGAAAGATTTTCCGCAACAGAACCAAAGTCTCGCTAACTGACTCGGCAGTAGCTATTGGACGGGTGCTGCGGCGTCAATGCTTGATATAACGAAAGAGATCTTTCCTGATTTCATCGTTCGCTGTCTCATCTCTGTGTGTCGGTCGCTCCCGCTCTCATTTCATTTCGTGGTTGCAACGCGGACAACGGATACTAATTTATATGACCGCTCAGGTCACAAGTGGAAAAATGTTATTGAATGTTGGCGGTTTTTCTGCACCTGCTACAGTCCCTCCCTTTTTCTTCATTATATAAGAGACGGTGTGGCCCGTACGGCGAGAGGCTCCACTCGAAATAGCAGTCGTGCCCCAGTCGTGCGCTACCGTTATTCAGCGCACTCGATCCGCGGAGCAATATTGTCGTCGAATCGTATTAGTCCAATCGGATCAGGAAGTCTTATGTGCTTTACACACACAGTTAGATCCCTTTCTTCTTCTTCGTGAGGTGGAGGAGGAGGCCGATAATCCACCTTCTATTTCGATCCCCGATGTGGATTGCTTGGGGGTTGATCCTGGATCCATCGTGAGACATAGGCAAGTCAAGTCATGGCTGCAATTTAGCAGACGGCGCGCGTACTATTTTTTTTATGTTCAGGAAGATTGTTTTTTATAGAATCTTCTTTTTCTCCGTTTTTTTTGTTTGCTGGAATTATTTCTCGGTAGTCGCCAGTTAGCGGCTGCACTATTAGCCCGTAGGAAAAGCGACGGTCCTTTTGAACCGGTATCGAATCACACCGGTTTTCAGACCTGGCTTTGAAGATAGGTGTTTACAACAGTTCGGAAACAGAGGAACGGGGTATAAGATCATGGCTGCACAGTTCGTTGGTTCCCACAGAATCGTCTTATGGAGGACATAACAAACACAGTGTAACGTAAACGACAAGCCCGACGTAGTAACATTGTTTCGCTGCAATGGGAAGTGCCATATGCTCAAAGGCAACAATGCAGATTGGTAACTATCGAACATCAAAATATAGGATATCAGTGAGGTGGCATAGCTGTCCGTGACTCGCATTTTTACCATTCTACTAGTATGATTAAACACACAGAATAGGCTCAAACCGGCTTTGATCGTTAGTTAGCGTCAATTGCTATCTAGACAGTTACCATGAACGGTAAATACCTATATATAGTTATATTATCCCATTAAATTAATATCGTCAATTGTCATGGCTAAGTATGTGTTAACGGCCGAAAAGATACGATATTTTTTACGTCGAATCATCTCGTGCCCGTATGATCAAAAAAACAACAACAGCAACAAAAGAGATAACATCATCAGATCGCTTTCGTTGCTACCTTGCTTCTGTTGATAATTGACTTAAGCTATGGACGGCGACAAGCCAACAGAATGACGCACGTTACCATGACAATTGTGCCGTTCCACAAAACGACCATGTTCAAAAAAAGTACCATCTTTTTCAAACAATAGACGCTGTTGTCTGCCCACGACCCAATTACCTAATTCGATATAACGTTTAAGCATAGTAATAAGCATGATAATTAATCATGCGTCAGGTCTAATGTCGCGCGGTTTTTTTTTTATTCTTTTGTCCATTCAGCAAAATACGTATGTGTTTTGCACGAAACCCGTGATAGCGCTTCAGTATCTTCATCTGGTCTTATCGTATGGTTAAATAGCTTCAATTTTATTCGTATCACTCACAGATCCACATTATATATACATGTTTAATATTTATCTAGAGTAACTCTAACATACGTTGAAGTTTTCAAATTTGGCCTACCTGTTCCTGCTGTGCAGAACGCTAGGCATGTTTATGGGGCTCGCGAGATGCTAGTCGTATACGAATGAAACGGCTAACCAGCAAGAATATCGGCGCGCGGCGGCGGCGGCAGCAGCACGAACAATGATTGTTCCGCAGACGTCTATAGACTCTAACGGGCAGTGAGCATCTTTGACCGGAGAAAGGGTCAAACTTCATCCTGAACCATCATCGCGCAACGGTCGTGGCGTATTTGTCTGCCGTCAATATCATAAATCGATGCAATCAAATAACATAGACCTACAGCAGATCTTTGTACTAAAATTAAAAATTAGCTATTTGACCTCCTGTCATGTAGGACGAATAGCAAATCACCGCTGGGGCGGGTCGATCGTTGTTTTATACAGGACAAACCGAAGGGATTTTCAGTCGGCGCCGCCGGATCGATACATTATATATAAGTGCAACGGTAGCGATTATGATACAATACGATCGTATGATATACGAAGCAATGGAGCTGAAGTAAAAACGACGTCAGGCAGAATACTTCGAAACGTCTCTTTGACTGACCCTCTGTAACCCAAGTTTTCGGCATACAATCGACCCGAAGTGGTCTTATTGTTCCGACAACGTACAGTGTCGGTACCTTTATTACGCATAATTGCCTATACATAGTGTATTGTGATGCGGCGTTTCGTACTTAGTGTCAATCACAGCAGGGGTGACGCATGTACTCCCTAGTTTTCTATTTGTCCATACAAATCTTTGCCTCGTGTGTATCGTAACGCCTCACCTAATCGGCCCTGTGAAATATCAATTGCAGTATATGATCTCCAACGTGCTACTTCAGTGGGTGATCACCCCTCAGTGAGCAATAACGGCTGTGCCACAATAGAGGCAATGCCATGATATATATACGCTGGTCAACAATAACTGCACGCAGAAGGAAGAATGAAAATGATTTAGGGAAAAAAAATGAGTGGTCTCAGGTAGGCATCGAACCTGAGACTTCGTAGTAATAGCTCCGGGGCTTTATTCATCCCGGCACGGCGACACATCATCGACATGATCTAATGTTCATATAGGACTTATATATGTAATCGATATACGCTTAATTCATACATGCCCCATATGAACATGATACGGGTGGCTATTACAGGCATCAGAAGTACGTCGACTACACAAGGACTAAAAGTATTTCGATGTGCCGCTGCTTGTATTATCCGATGTATTGATTACCGTAAACTCATGTCACTAGGTGTACATCAAGATGGTGGTAGAGGAATTAAGTACTGTGTAATATTAGCTACGTATGTACTATTCGACACATCATCAATACAAAAAAACTTGACGATATCAGAAGACGAGTAATACAAAGCTAATGGTTTTGTTGCTGCTGCTGCCCCCCGTGACACCTTTCGTGACTTTCGTGGCTAGTAGTACTACAGTTACTTGCACATCGTCCGCTCAGTCAGGCTGACTCAGGACCGTCTGGCCGAGGTCGCGCTGCACAGCATCTCGTCACAGATACACACATATACTATGCTAGAACGCAGTTAGTGTACATTTTAACCTTGCTGTTGCTGTTAGAGTGGCTTTCGTTGCCGCTACGTGTTGATTGGTACCTTGAAGCAGAAGACAGAAAGGCGCTTGGAGCGCCCCCGTTTTCGTCTTTGGTGCCAATGCGCCCTTCCAGCATCGTCCCTGTCCGCCGGCGATGCCCTATGTAGGGCCCCGGGTGTCCCATTTTAGACGCGTCATCCCCGCGCGCCTGCCTAGGGCGTTGAACGCTATGCGACGGCCTTTCATCTTGCTTCTGTGTGCTCAACCAGCCCGGGTGTCGGTTGGTCGGCCTTCGTCTGTTTGATATTTCACATAAATAGCCCGGGGCTGCTAGTGCAGTGACAGGGAGAGCCTACTTCCAACCGATGCCCCCTGTGCCTGTCTCTACAGAGGGAATCAAAGGCAGGTCCTAAAGGGTTCTTCGTTTATGGTGGTCGGGAGAGCAAGCTGCAAGGGGAAGAATTGAGAGTTAGAGGAAGAATGCCCCTTGAATAGGGGCGTACGCGACAAAACGCGCATTGCAGACCAGTAGTGTACGAGCCAGACGCAGTAGTAGTTATTTGTCGCAGCTGAGTACTTTATTGTTGATTAGATCGATGAGACAAGTGCAATTGTGACAAGGCACAGTGCCGATCATTCAAAGTCATTGGGTGCCACTTTGATGAATTATTAAAAACAAAAATCGGTATACGCAAAAATTCCTGATACGTTATATACGCAAGTAAGTTGTCTAGCATAGCTTGCTGAACAGCGACTGGCAGAAATATTCATATTTCGCGCAGTTGAAGGGTAGCGGCCGAATCCGCAGCGTTCAATGCGCCTATGCAGCTACCTTTAACGATGAGCGATTCTATTGTATAATGTATGTTATTGAGGATACATAATTATGAGCGAACATGGAGACAACTAAGCAAACACATGGAAAGGGCAACTTGAGCGTTACAACATACGCACATTACGCTTTTCAATATGGAAGAGAAAGGTTTCATTTTCATGAACATAAAGAGGAGATATGTTGAAGGCAGTCATGATGAGCCATTCATAGACAGGCGTGGTTTTACTTTAATAAATACACTTCACCGCGAATTCAGTCGCAGTTATGGTTAGCGTCACTATGCCCATTACGGCAAAGGCGAAGGTGACCTCTACGGGTCACCGGGAAGATAATATATGTTCCTCGTTGAATATATATCATATTGCTGTAAACTTACGCTTATTCAATCAGTGAAGTGTTGGCTGGGAAATCACATTATCTTCACGCCATTTTCCTAACATTTTTGGATGCCACTGTGTCAAAGTGAACAGTGATGATACGGGTGCACTGAACAGACGTTCGTTTTCATGCAAATAAGCAACTCGGATTTATTTCGATTCCATACAGCAC